ACCATCATCGATATGTGGCTGGATGGTCCTTCTCTTGTCGGCAAGGTGCCCTTGAAGGGCCAATGAGAATAACAAGACATCCCAAGGGTTGTGATGTCAGATAATTTGATCAATGACGACATCGGGAACCATTTTTTATTGGCTACGTCCTTAAAACGAGCACGTTGGCAGAACGTACTGCACCTGTGTGAAACCCTGATTTTTCACGATTTTCGTTGGATTTTTGCTCAACTTTGCATCAGAATTTTGCCTGTTGCTGACGGTATCTTTTCCGAATTGATATGTGAAAACTACAAACGGGATGTTAACTTTATATAAGCGAATATGACCTTATATGAGACGTTCTGCCGAAGTGCTATGCATTATACATTACGGGTTTTGCAGATGTACAGTACGTTCTGGCAACGTGCTTTGTAAACGTCTTCTTCTCAAAACATGTTGAGGTTATGAGGAAGTTCAGTTAGTAACCTGGGTCACACAATCCTTAGCTAGAGTGAAGATGATTCGGTGAACTGTTACCTGAAAAGGGGATTGGAGAGTTGGAGAGTAACGAAATCCTTGCAGAGGTTGACAAAATCCTTGCAGACAAAATCCTTGCAGAACTGAAAAGTTTGACGTCTTTCTGTGTTACTCTTGTGATTGCTTAGGATCCGTCTATCCTAACCTATCGATATCTGCGAACTTGAAATCCTCATTTTTGACCTTGCCTTGTTGCTGCTGTTGAGTATCCTCATCCATAAAGGCTACGTTTTCATACACGTGAGAGCTTCACCTCAGATGACTTTTCACGGTCAAAGGCCAATCAACTGTTGCGTCTCTGGCCTTTCAGTAGCATTATCCCATAAAACTACATGAGATTCATGAACACTTTATCTTTATAAGGCAAAAAGTGGGGGCGAAGATCGACCTCAACTAATGTGCCTTTAGAAGATCATAGAAAGCCTGGAAAGATACATGCACTCCCCAAGACTTATCATAATTGGCATCAAATTAAATTCTTATGATGGTTTAATGTCAGTGCATTGTGGTAGAGGTAGCGTGCGTTCGCTGATGTTATTTCAAATTGACGTTTTGAATCTCAATTACAGAGGGTAGGGTCAAATGCCCAAGAAAAAAAGCTTAAGGTGTCTTTGAGGATCACGGAGGTCGATTGCTAAGGTTATATGCAAATTGCAAGTTCAACCGTTACTTTTTGAAATGCTGAAAAGCTGACCATGCTCACTTGTTGCTTTGACAAGTGACCTCAGTATACCCAAGTCCTGTTATGTTAGATAGGGTACTAGAATATACATTTCACTCCGTATAAAATCGATGTGTTGGCCTTTTGCAGGTCTTCTTACACAACCAGTGATACTGTTATCATATGTAACTGTTATCTTTTGTTCAAGAATCCATCAGTTTTAGGTTGGTTTCTAACCTCATTTTAGCTGGTATATATAGTATCCGAAACACTATGTCTTATAAACCGGCCACTGTGCTTGAAGTTCAACGAATTCGAGAGGTTGGAATTAGCAATTGAGTATGACTTTCAATGGACATCATTTCATGATACGTTCATGAAACATTGAGCTTACGATTTTGTAGTTTTCAGTATACTACCATGTATGACCTTCTATGATCTTGATACATGTATCTTTATGTACTCTCCAAGCAGGTTTGGGTTTGGGCTTATTTTTGGCGTGTTTTTTTTTTTTATCAGGCTTTCTTTTTTTTATTCCAACATGTAATCACCAGACGTAGTGACGGCACATTCAAGTTTTTTTATCAACTTATATTAATGCACAGGGCCAAATACATGACAGGACAATACTCATTTTCACCTGAGCGAAGTGAGGAAAGTCGTGTAAAGTGCCTTTCCCAAGGACACAAGATCGGTGGCATGTCAGGACTCGAACCTGGGACCTCTTGGTTCCGAGTCGCGCACTCTGCCGCTACGTCACACGACCCCACTTTCTTTTTTGTACTGGTTATCTTTTTACGCCAACCAACATAAGCCCAAAACTCTGATTAAAGAGTGATCTTTATGGTCGGTTAGCCTTAATTGACCTAATTCTTTTCTCTTGACTAGCTCCGTAAGATCCATTAGATCCAACTATGCCAGAAGGTACGAAAAAGACTTCAAAGCGCTGACCAGCATTCTGGCCTCAGGGTGTTTATGATCTGACGCAAATGGGCACAGCGGGAAGCTGACTTAATTTTTCTCTTCCTTAATATGTTTAGGTCTGTCTTGTGGCATCAAACGTACTTTCAGGACCCTCATCTTTGTTATTCGTCTTACATCAATGGTGCAAGAAAAAGAAACGTCAGTTCTCTTTTTAATGATTTTGTTTATATGATGTTTAATAACGTTTTGAGTTTCGTTAATAATTGCTGTTAATCAGATATTTGGTTGGATAACCTTTTGTACATTTGGTTTATATTGATTTCATTGCTAATGTGATGTTCAGTCCAGTTTATGATAGTCTTTTGTTAAATCCGTTATCTTATTTATGATATATTTTAATTGGACTCCAGGAAGAATAGTGAAAACTGTATTCACTAATGCAGATATAGATAAACCAAACCAAACCAAATCATCAAATCTACAGGAAGAAAAACTATTATGGCATCAAACACACTTTCAGGGATCATGATCTTTTGCTGCCATCTTTGAAGACCTTTGTTATTGGTCGTATATCAAAGATGCTTTTGCAAGAGAAAAAAAACGCAACTTTTAATGTCAGAATCTACAGAAAGAAAACTATTATGGCATCAAACACACTTTCAGGGATCATGATCTTTTGCTGCCATGTTTGAAGACTTTTGTTATTCGTCTTATATCAATGATGCTTTTGCAAGAAAAAAAGTCAATTCTCTTTTTAATGATCGAATCTACAGGAGGAAAAACTAAGGCATCAAACACACTTTCCGAGATCATGATCTTTTTCTGCCATGTTTTTTGAAGACCTTTGTTATTTGTCTTACATCAATGGTGTTTTTGCAAGAAAAAAGTCAATTCTCTTTTTCATGATCGAATCTACAGGAAAAAACTATTATGGCATCAAACGCACTTTAATTTCAGGGATCATGATCTTTTGATGCCATGTTTAAAGACTTTTGTTATTCGTCTTACATCAATGATACTTTTGCAAGAAAAAAAAACGCTAGTTCTGTTTTTAATGATGGCATCTACAGGAGGAAAAACTATTATGATGGCACCAAACGCGCATCCAGAAATCGTGATCTTTTTCTGCCATGTTTTTTGAAGACCTTTGTTATTTGTCTAACATCAATGATGCTTTTGCAAGAAAAAAGTCACTCCTGTTTTTAATGATCGCATCTACAGGAGGAAAAACTATTATGATGGCAACAAACGCGCATTCAGAAATCGTGATCTTTTCCTGCCATGTTTTTTGAAGACCTTTGTTATTTGTCTTACATAAAGCGTACTTTTGCAAGAAAAAACGTCATGTATGTTTTAATGATCGACTCTACAGGAAGAAAAACAACTTACGAGTGGGTCGTTGATCCCAATACGTCAACCCTGTTTTCGTCTCATTATTTTTAGATTTTTTCTGTGCAAAATTCGGTGGTTGGATTGGCCTTGAAAATCACTCACGGCATCATCAGCGTGCATACGTCAATGAATGAATGTATAATGAACGAGTTGAGGTGTGCAAGCGAAGGCCTTGAAATCACTTGTCACGACCCAAAAAGGAGTCGCTGTTTCGATGCAATCGCATCGCTGAGCATCGAAAATGTAAAAAAAGAAGTACTAGTGCTTTCTAAAGAAAAGCTTGGCGGGGACCATGAAAATAGCTGGTGGGTGATGTGAGTGCAACGACGATGTGAGACTCAAATAATTTGTGGCCTTGGTGAAATGTACATGAAATGAAGCAATGCTAACGAAGCTGGGTTAATAATTGTATCATGATCTCTTTTAAACGGAGGAGAGATATTCTGTAATAGTTTATTTGCAGTTACGTGGGCTTTATTTTCACTCCTGACATCTGCTTGATTTTCATTCTACATGTTATACAATAGTTGAACCTTTATTGTTGCCGCTGACATATACTCTGTACGTAGCTTGCCGCATACATACCGTATATTCTGTACGTAGGATGACTTTACTCATATAAGTATTTAGCTTTGTTAGAACTTTAGTTGTAGAAGACCATACAAAAGTCCATGTACTTTCTGTTGAGTCAATAAAGATCTTTATTCATGTGGTAATGTATACATGGCCATGCAATAACAAGCTGATTACCATGGTCTAAATATATGCCTTTTTTCCCCAATGACACTCTCTGTAGCGAAGCTCCTTTAATAGCGGCCAATTTTAGTTGGGCACCAGCACTCTGGATGCTTCCAAAAGACGTTATTATATCTACGCCTGCGTCCTCCAAGCGTTTTACAGAAACTTGACCTAGATCCAACTTTCTTGGGTAGGCAGGAAATCCAAAATGCTTTGAAGCTAAAGTATGATAAAGGTCGTAAGAAAGGCCAAAGTTACGTTGATTGAGGCTGACCTATTGCTCTTCCCCCACGCCTAGTGGTCTAAGAACATTAAGAGCAATTTCAAGGTTGAAATGTGTTGGTTTTGCCTGCAGATATATGTGTCTGGCCATGGTCCAATTGTTAGGGATGAGCAATGCTGCTGAGTACTCGAGCGTGCTAGCAAGTACTTTTAACCACGTAGATTGAATCACCGTGCTTGAATACGTAAAAAATGATTCCCCCAGCCCACGCGTAACCCAAATGCAAAAATTATTCATAATGCTAAAGAATATATATTGAGATACGTCACACTTCACAGTTCACACCATTTAACTTTCTGTCATTGATTCTTGGTGCGTGTTTTTTCACACAGGTCCGTCAGAGCTACGTAACGTATTCTCGCTTCTGGTTGGACGGCATAGGTTATACACGTCCTTTCATCCTTTGGACTGAAAGTCAGACCGCGTCACACTAGAGGACACGCGTTTGCAAAAGAAGGGCGGCTTGCGAAGAAGCAAGCTGCGATGGCCAACGAAACCATGCATCTTTTCGGCGACGACTTCAACATCTCATCGGAAGACCTCCTGTCCAAACAATTGCTGGACGATTTGTACGACGACATCCCTAGCTTCATCCCCGGCGACGAGGGCCTACCGGAGACGAACACCACCACCTGCGGGAGGGACTACTGCCAAGAGCCCGAGGAGCTTCTCGACGCCTCCCTGCACTTTCGGGTAGCGCTGGGCATCGTGTACATCATCATCCTCCTGGTCTGCGGAGTGGGCAATCTCGTGCTGCTCATGATCCTCAGCAAGTATCGCCAGGCAAGGACAAAGACCAACATGCTGATTGCCAACCTGGCGGCATCTGACTTCATCGTGGCCGTGCTGTGCATACCGTTTGATCTGGACTACTACGTGTTCAAAGAGAAGGCCTGGACGTTCGGCGCTACCTGGTGCAAACTGGTCAACTACATCCGGATGGTGTCCCTCTACGTGTCCACCAATGCCCTTCTGGTCATCGGGGCGGAGAGGTAAATATCTATTTATTTAATGAATTTAAATGTAAAATAATTGATAATTACTTTGTATGCAAATTTAAAAAAGTACTTGTAAATTCAAGAAAATTCAGACTAATTATGATACTGTTTGTCAGTCTGCCGGTTGAATATTCATTCATTCATTCATTCATTCATTCATTCATTCATTCATTCATCCATCCATTCATTCATTCATTCATTGGCTGTTCAGCCCTCATGGCCAGGGCAGCCGAACTAGCAGGTAGCGATTACAAAGGGCTTGCCTTTTTACAAGACAAAAGAAGCATAGAAACCTATGCTAGCATTAAATCTATCATGTACATGTTACCACTAGGTGTATCGTTTACATAAGAGGCAAGCATAGATTCATGCTACCATTAAATCGATTATACGCGTGTTATCACTGAATGTATCGTTTACAAAACATGTAAGTGTGTTAGCACTGAATATATTTGATAAGGAGGCCCATGCCATATTTGGTGGAAGCAGGTTCGATTCTGGCACAATCGTTGATGATTTGTTCTTACGCAGCTGATAGTGGTGCTGAACGTCGTGAATAATTATTTTGCTAGAAACATTTCAGTCCGCAAATTTACCAGAAAATTGCCAGACTGATATTGCGTTCTTCAATTCCTGAAAAGAAATCACTTTTGGCATCCCATAGACTTATCGCTGAAGAAGCAGTGGTATCTAGGTCGTCTCAGCTGGATTCCTGTTCACAAAAGCTGACCACCTGCGCTCTTACAAATTACTGTGATTGTCCAACATGTAGGTTTCAAAGCTGTTGTTGTCAACAATCTTCAAACAGATCCCTTTCGGTGGCAAGACAGTATGCATGAGCCTGAGGAGTTTGCATGGCCACCGAAGGTGGGGGGTTATGGACACTCCTCTGGCCAATGGATATCGCATTGCCACCATAGGATCTGCTTGGAGATTAGTTGTCAACCGTCTGTCTCAAGAGACAATGGTTACTCACCATGGTTCTGTCTGTATTCGCGTTTTGCTAAATCGTTTTGTTAATAGGTCTGCTGGGACGTAGAGTCCAATTTTTGAGTCTGTTACATGTAGAATTCCATGCGGCCATTTATAAACAACGAGAGACTTGCAGCGTATACATTTACTCCAGAAGAGTATAGAGATAAGGTTCAAACAAATGCACACGAGTTCAAAATTTTCTTTTTCGGGCTAACATTAAAAGATTGTAATTCTGATACAGTCCCAGGGGTATAGTTGCAAAACTTGCAATGAGATAGCAACAGTGTGTGAATACATATAAAATGGAGGCGATGCCAAGATGCTGTGGCTATGGAAAGATAAAGTAGGTCATGAAGATTTTATTGATTGCACGTGCTCATGGCGATGGTCTTTTTCCTTATCTCTTCCAAACAGATACTACTGCATCTTCTTCCCGCAACGGCGGCGCATCGGGAAGAAAGGCGCCGTCTTCATGTCACTCCTGGTGTGGGCTATCTCCGTGCTCATCGCCGTGCCGTCAGCGATGTACTCAGGTACCTTTCCCTACCACAACCGCAAGAAGGAAATGTGTGGACAGTTCTGGACCGTCGACTTGGAGAAGCATACCAAAGGCTACTTCGTCTCGGTCATCACTCTCCAGTTCATCCTGCCGGTCATAGCGCTGTCCTACTGCTACCTGGCCATCGTGTGGAAGGTCTACACCAGGGAGAGACCTGGAGTCATGACGGAGATGCAGCGGAACAACCTCAACAAGTCCAAGAAGAAGACCCTCAAGCTGGTCTTCATGCTGTTCATGTTTATCGCCTGCTGGTCGCCTTACTACATCTACACCTACATCCGAGACTTTCACGGCCACATCCTGGCCAACAGTCACCTCAACACCAACCTGTTCTACGCCGTGGAAGCTGCCGCCATGGGGAACAGTGTCATCAACACGTTCTTCAACATCATCCTCAACAAGAACCTGCTCAACTTCGTCCGCCCGCTGTTCCGCATGATCAGCGAGAAGTACCTCCGAGCGGTGCTCTCCACGAGCTCGTCGGACAACAACGTCAACTCCAGCCTGCGGGGAGACCACCCCATCCACCGGGCGAGGGGGGACAGGGTGGTGACCCGCCTGGCGAGTAGAGAGAGCCACCCGAGAAGATTGAACTCTACCCGGCAGCTGCCTGTGGGACGGGGGCGGCCGGGGCAGCAGCCTGACCTGATCGTGGGACTGGAACTGTTGAAGCAGAGCAGCTCAAGCTACGGTCATCACCGGAACGGGAAGAACTGCCTGTTCATGGAAACTTCGGTGTGAATCCTTTTCCGACCAATCCTCAAGCCCCACACATGTGAAACGTTCTTCTAGGAATCTTCAACCCCCCCCCCCCCAACCACACACACA